GCCGTACGACGACACGCAGTAAGGATCCGTCAAATGTCTCACTTCTGTCCATGGCTGCTTGTCGGTCAGTGAGTGCAATTAGGATTAGAAGAACCAATGTAAAATAAAAATTATAAAGAAACTGACAAAAAAACAGCAGGTTGACTAACTTGGTCAAACTTGGTCAACTAACCTTTAAAAAGTTAAATAAATAAATATTAAAGCACGAGATCTGAAATTCCGGCTGGGATAGTTTGCGTCTTCTGTGTCTTCCCATAAACCCTGTGTCATCCAATCCTCACCCACAGGTTCTACATCGGCTGCGACCGCTGCCAGAACTGGTACCACGGGCGCTGTGTGGGCATCCTGCAGAGCGAAGCCAATCACATCGACGTGTACGTGTGTCCGCAGTGCCAGTCCACGGAGGACGCGATGACGGTGCTGTCGCCGCTCACCGACAGAGACTACGAGGGGCTGAAAAGAATATTACGGTCATTACAGGTACGAGCTCTCTCTCTCTCTCTCTCTCTCTCTCTCTCTCTCTCTCTTTGTTCTTTACAATCTGAACTCTGGATTTTTACCAACTGCTTAACGTTTGTCATGTCATCACCACAAACTTGAATATATGTTCTAGAGATTGTGAAGTCAGTGTTAATCAAAATAGATGGACTTTGTATTGAATGCTTTTTTCAGAATTTTACAAAGTGTGTAAAATGTGATGCATCTTTTTCTGACAAATGTGTCCTTTACTAAAAAATAAAAGATAAATTTTGCCTGTTTGTTATTCGTCAGTCTCACAAAATGGCGTGGCCTTTTCTCGAACCGGTGGATCCCCACGACGCGCCAGATTATTACCGCGTGATCAAGGAGCCGATGGGTACGGCCTCCGCTCGCCGCATGCCTTTTAGTGAACGCGACGCTCGTTTCATACTCGTTTGTCTCTCTTTCAAGATTTTTCCACAATGGAAACCCGTTTGCAAAAGCGACATTACCAGAAGCTCACAGAGTTCGTGGCGGACGTGACCAAAATCTTCGACAACTGCCGCTACTACAACCCCAACGACACGCCCTTCTTTCAGTGCGCCGAGGTGCTCGAAGCCTTCTTTGTACAGAAGCTGAAAGGCTTCAAGGCCAGCAGGTAGGAAGTTCTGCTGCTCCTGCCGAACCGAGGTTCTGAGGATTCGCTTGTTTGTGCTCGTAAAGATTTCATTTCTTTATGGAGAAACTCTACCATGTTTATTTTCTAACTTCATCCGTGTTTTTATGTCTGCCTGTCTTTTTTTTTTTTTAAACTACAAGCATGTGTGGCGCAGCTTGAAGTCATAGAGTGTTATTTATTTTCTACATGTGCATATGGTCACAGTCATTGCCTGGAAAAGTGTCCATACTATCAGAAGGTTTTACATTTTGTTGCGTTAAACCACAAACATCAATGTATTTTATTGGGACTCAGTGGTGGGCACCGCTAACTGAGAAGCTAGCTACACTAAAGCACTAATCATAAACGTTGGTTCCACTAACCACCACACCAACGTGGTATTTATGTAGCGGGAGCTAATGCTAAAGCGCTAACTTCAATTCAAGCAGCAATTTAATTTTGACCTTGTAATTTGCATGTTCTGTAATGCCTACACATTGATTTTATTGAGAGAGCGTGAGGAGAGGAAACCGAACTGCCGCGTAAACACTTTTCACCCACGGTCAAAATAAGAGTGCACATATAAACGTTGAACTTGAAAAATTCTTAATAGTCGATAAACAAAACTTCATCACCAATGTCAAACTTTACTGAGCTGAAAGTTTACAAAACAAAACAGCCAATTAAATTAGAGCTTCAGAGTTTATCCAGAAGAAATTAATTTAGGGGAAGCTAGGTGTGCTAAACGCTTTTAAAGTGCTAAATGAGAAATTAGCTTTGGTGTCAGCATGTTAGCAGAAGAGTGCCGATAATTGTGAACTGGAAAGAAATTGTAAATGGTTTTTTAAATTTATTTATGAATAGATATTTTCAAGTCTTACCGCAGCCAGCGGACCTCTGAACCAGTTCTTAACTCTTTTGCAGTCTCTAACATTTTTTCTTAAGGATTTCCCTGTTTTAAACTCGGCTCTTCAGCTCTTAGCATCTTTTCTGTTCCCACAGAAGAAAAGCAGAGTTAGCCGTTGTGCTAATTGAGGCTCATTTGCTGTAACGGTGACCTGTCAAAAAAACCTGCTCCTATTCCTGTGTAGGGTTTTTGTTTGTAGAAAGAGTTCAGTACAATTTCTCTTCCACTTCACAATTACGCAATAAGTTGGTCCCAAATAAAATCCCTGTAAAAACACTGAGGCGTGTGGTTAAAACGTGACAAAATATGAAACACTTTTCGCAAGGCTCACTACGTCTCACCGTCTCAACACTGACTCTGGTTGCGTCTTGGACATTTTTTTGCATTTGCGTCTGTGTGTGTGTTTGTCCACCTGTGCTGCATGCCTGTGATTTAAGCCATTCCATCTTCTTTTTGTTTCTTGCAGATTGTCTGATTCTTAAGTGTGCCAGTCTAGCTGGAGTCTGGACTGGATGCTGGGGGGTCTCTCTGTTGACACTGAAATAAACAAACAAAAAGAAATTAATTATGTGTTTCCAAAAACGGCAAAAAGTCTCAAGAAAAGCCCCCCACACACACGTGCACACACACAGACTCACAACCACCAAATGTGCTCTTTGTTTTTTGTTTTTCTGAGGAATGACTTGTAATCATAGCGGAACAGGAAACATGGCAGCCATTTTGTTCTCTTTCAGAAGAAATTAGGATACCGGCGTTTGTGCTCAATCAAGCGTTTTAAATGCTTTTTACTCACAAGCGTCTATTTATTTCTGTTCAAACATCTCAGTTGAATTGGACATGTTGAAGGTGTTGACTAAAGTATATATTAAAAAAAAGCTGCATATTTTTTTATAAAGGTATATTTATGAAACATTTTTGTATGTTACTTCACCTTTAGTTCTGGATGTTATCTACATTTTATGATGTACAGTGGTTGTGAGATTATATGTCTGACTGTATTTGACCCTTTTTTAATAATAATAAAAAAAAAATCTCATTTTAGATTATTAATATTTTATTAGTCTAAAATGGTCTGAAGAGAGAGAGAGAAGTGCGTCTTCCTGTTCCTCGACTCGCAAGGTTTTGCGGTCATGAAAGGTCTGGTCTCGAACGGAGACGTTCGTGCCAAGATGGCCGCACAACATGGCCACACAACCCCCCCGAAGCGTTTTGCATCTTCTGTCTGTGACTAACTGCAACAGTAAAGAACCTGAAGAGCTCTCAACTCTTCCCCTTCTTCTCCACATCCTGTAGGTCTCATAACAACAAGCTTCAGTCTTCTGCCGCCTCTTAGAAAGCATCGCACGTTACGCAAACAAAATGCACTTGCCAGGAATCTGGCTTCTTTCTTTTTCCTCCCTCTCCGCTCTCCCCCGCCCCGTTCCCGTCGAACTGTGACTCTGATGGACGCAGGGTTGGTTGGGGGGGGAGGGGACCTGTCCTCACGAAGCGGGCCAGCGCAGAGAGAGGCGAGAACAACTGAGGCGTTTCAGATGGAAGTTTACCTCGGAGAAAACTCTTATGGAGCTCTCATGTTTCCATTTATGTTTTTCTTTTTTTTTTTTTTTTAAGTCAATTTTCACCCTCAAACTGTTGTAAAAAAAAAGTCTGGGTTTTGTTTTTGTTTTTGTTTTTTTTTTGGTCTTCTCAAACAGGGACCTGCTATGGAAACGCAATGACTGAGTTTATCTGAGCATCATGTTTCAAGAGTTTTGTGTCTGAATTCAGATGTCACAGTGGAGCAATGTTTTAATCCTCACGCATTTCCACTCATCGTTCATTCTGAAGCGGCATGAAAGACGGTTTTAAGTACTAAAGTACTAACTATGTGGACATCAGTAGTCTTCTTGGTTAAACGTATATAAATATTCTACTGAGAGTATGATAATAAGCTATTGTAAATGACTTGCTTTGCAGTAGTGACTGAGAAAGAATGAAAAGATGTATTTCAAGGTTTCCTGCCCCTGTTTGTAAAAATTCATTGGATTTTGACTTGATTTTTTTTTTCTTTTGTATTACAGCTGAAGAAATATTGATGTATATGAAACTTAATAAAACTTAAAAGACTAATTTGTTCTATTTTTTTCCCCCATACCCCCACCCCCCAAAAAACTTTAACATGAGCTTGTTTACTTCACTTTTGTCTCCATATATAGTCGCATAAATATAAACTCAAATATACACCAAATTCAGTATGTTAAATTGGAGCCAGAAATAATTACAAAATATTTTTTTGTTTTAAATCTAAATTAATGGTTTAACTCCATAAACTGAAAAACACATCTGCTTCAACTTAGTTTTAATTTTGAGAAAAGGGCTTAAATATTTTTGCAATACATTTCTGTTTGGTGATTTAAATGTCTAAGAAAATGAACTGTTGCTGAGAATTTACATACTTTTTCCATATATTGTAAAATTTCTTCTTGTGACATAAAATGACTGAAAACTTCAGATCAAGTTTGAAAAACCTATTAAACCACTTTCATTTAATCGTTTCAACAGAAATGCTTATACATATGTTTTACCGTTTGAATGTAATTAATTTTATTTAGTGATATTTATAGTATACATAAAATACCTTTTTTTTAACAGAAAATGCTATCAATAGCTTTACAGCTGTTACAAAGCTTTATAATAACTTTACAGTTTTGTATAAAGAGGGGGCTTATTGTAGGCTTTAGAACAAAAATAAATAAGCCGAACTGAATTTTGAGAATAGAAAAGTTTCTGTTAAATAACTTCCTGGTAGAGAATTTTAAATATCGCCGTCGAACTCTCGATCCTGGAACAGTTTGCTCGCATTGTGACAGTAGGTCCGTATTCAGCCTGAACTGATCCTGGATCAGGGCAAACTGGAGTCCACATCTCGCGATGTTCTCGTGAAGTGACGGTGTTTCCGGTGACGCATGTGATTTTTTTTCAAAACGACCAATGAACACCGGCGAATGAATGCTTTGACTCGAATGGCCCAATCAGAGGACTTTTTTCTGGAATTTAAAGGTCTGTGCGGCATTTTCTAACTACACATCTCCTGCTCCAGCATTGGGTAAGTGTCCGACTGCTACTTCTGATTTTTATTTTTTTAAATATTTTATATGCTTTGTGGGTTTTTTCACGTTGTATTTACTATTTTCTTAGTTAATTGACAAATGTAGCTGAATTTAAAATTTGAACGTGGTGTGTTCTTATCTTGACATTTTCTGGTGCCTTAGAAAATGCACGAGGTCTTGTTATTCAAGCGAAATAATAAGCGACATAAAAGGGATTGTTTGCACAGGAATTACACCGCTACAAGACCTGTTCTCTGCACTCCCTAATCACACAAACATACAAAAATGTCCGAGAACGTCGCACGCCTGAACAAATTCAAGAACAAAGGCAGAGATGCTAACGTGAGTTGTATACGACTGAGCAAAGCTAGAGTTTACCAAAATGCTGAATCCATAATTACACGCTTTATCTGAATTTAACGCAGGAGCTCCGACGCAGGAGAGTGGAGGTGAACGTCGAGCTTCGTAAGGCCAAAAAGGATGACCAGATGTTCAAGAGGAGAAATGTGGCCGCTGCCCCGGATGAGGCGACGTCTCCCCTCCAAGAAAGAAACCAGAACTGCCAGGTGAACCTTTTAGCATATCTTGCCAAGGGCCTAAGCGACATAAGTTTTCATATGAAGTTAATGTTTTTGGGTCCTATTTTTGTCCTACATTACTGCCAGACTAAAATGAGTAAATTAAGGGGGTAATTCTTCACACTAATTTGGTCCCGAAGAGAAGGGATCAGGTATATTATAAACGACAATGTGAAATTCACAATTGCATTATAAAACGTCACTCTGATTTTGATGGTAAATATATATAGCAGTTTAGTTATATTGGCCTCCTAGCATAACTTCCTAAGTCAAATTTTAATGGGCTTTGATAATCATTGACTGAAATGTGGGGACAATAACTTGCACATTATTTTTGGACTTTAACAAATATTCAGGCAGGGTGATGTAGCAATTTCAGGGGATCAGTATTATGCAAATATCTCAATTTAACCCAAGTATGACCTGGGCAACTATGCCATGAGGCCAAGGACGTGCAACTCCAAGCAGGATTTTTTGGTATTTGTTCTGATATCTGCTTATAAAATGTTGTGTGTGTGGCTGAATACTTCCTGTTTGTTAATCCTCTGTTTTTTTCCTTACCTGTGCAGGCATTCAGACAGTGGACTGTCGAGGAGATTGTTGCTGGAGTGAACAGTGGCAGTCTCGAGTCCCAGCTGCAGGCAACCCAGGCTGCACGGTAATTCATAATTTATTAAAATAAAGCTGCAAACCAGAGCTTTTTTAAAATTGTATATAATAAATTCTTAACTCCAATGTTTCTGGTGCAGGAAGCTGCTGTCCCGTGACAAACACCCTCCCATCGACCAGATGATCGCTTCCGGCCTCATCCCCAAGTTCGTCTCCTTCCTTGCCCTCACTGACTGCCCTCCGATCCAGTTCGAGGCGTCCTGGGCGCTGACCAACATCGCCTCGGGGACGTCTGCTCAGACTATGGCCGTGGTGGACGGCGGGGCCATCCCTGCCTTCATCAGCCTGGTCGCTTCGCCCCAGCAGCACATCAGCGAGCAGGCAGTCTGGGCTCTTGGAAATATCGCTGGTAATTAGCAAAAATGTGTTTTTTTTTTTTTTTTTTTTTTCTGTGCATAATTATTTACTTCTCTCTTCAGGCGACGGGTCGGCTCTTAGAGACAGGGTGCTCAAGCACGGCGCAGTAGCCCCTCTGCTCACTCTGCTGGCAGTCCCTGACCTCACTGTGTTCACTGTGAGTAGCATTTTCTTTGAAATTTGTTCAAATTATGGTTTGAAATTCACGTGAGTGACCTCGCCCATCCCAACATTTTCAAATTTTTTTTTTTTCTGTGCATAATTATTTACTTCTCTCTTCAGGCGACGGGTCGGCTCTTAGAGACAGGGTGCTCAAGCACGGCGCAGTAGCCCCTCTGCTCACTCTGCTGGCAGTCCCTGACCTCACTGTGTTCACTGTGAGTAGCATTTTCTTTGAAATTTGT